AGCAGCACTCGGGCCCGGCGGGCGGCGGGGCTGCGGGTGCGGAGCGAGAGGCCCGGCGGCCCCGGAGCCGCCCCGACGGCCGCGGCGCGCTGCTTCTGGGGCTCTCCACTTCCGGGCCCAGAGCCCGGCGGCCCGGCGATCGGCGCTTTCCGAGGGGCCCGTGGGCGCCGGAACCGGCCTCTTCTGCGCCCCCAGGATCGCGAGATCGTGAAATGGGGCGAGGGTGCTGAGCTGCGGGGCCCGCGGCGCGAGGTGGGGCGCCATCCCGCGGCGCGGGCGCCCAGAGCTCCTGCTGCCGCTCATTTGACACTTTTTACTCCCCACAAATTTTCTGACCTGCCAGCCCAGATGCCTCAGACTTTCAGCCACTGGAGAGCCCTCTGCACTAGGGTTTGCGAATTGTCTGGGCCCTCGTTGTACAGGAGGGTCACGGGAAAGCTGGATTTGGAGCTGCCGTGCGCTACACCTTCCCCCACTTGTTTTCTCAGCTGCAAGGGTGGCCGATTTAACGAGGGAGATTACTGGTTCTCTTCCCTCTGGTGGGAGGGGGGCGTGAGGGTCCTTCCCAGCGAGTATTTGGAATCCTCAGTTTATGGTTAAGGTGAACATTTCGTTTCCACCTCGGCGAACCAGGTCCCTGAGATGCGGGCCGGGTGGAGAGCCTAACCACTGCCCTTGCTGGCACTGAGCATCTTTGCCAGTCGATTCCGGCTTTGTGGCCCCTGGAGGCTTCCGAGCATGTTCACAAGCTTGATTCAGAACCCGCTTGAAATTGCCAGGCATAAGCAAGTGGTTTACTTGTATATTTGGAAGGACCCCACTTGAATGCCATTCGAGTATGTCCGTGAGTTAACATAAATAAATATTTAGGTTGTGCTGAGGATTTGCTGGTTTTTAAAAAAATTAGTCATCTTCTGCACCCCTGGCAACACCACACAGCACTCTGAGTCTCATCGCAGCTTCAGAAAAATGAAGATGCTGAATTTACCTGAACTTGGGGCCTCTACCAAAGTAGATTTGTCATGTCCTTCAAAAACTTTAGGGTGTAGTTAAGACTGGAAGTTATCTTGCAAACTGGAGCACCGTGACCTTGAAATAGTAATAAGCCAGGCTTGCAAACGTCTAATCGCTTACGTTTTGAATTATGTTTTTAGATGGGAAACTCTTGTCTAGTGATGTGACTCATTACATGATCCCAGATTGGAAAGTTGTTCAAGATTACCTCGAGATCCTTGAGTTTCCGGAGTTGAAGGGAATTATTTTCATGCAAACGGCTTGTCAAACTGTGCAGCATCAAAGGGGCCGGAGGTATCTATTTCACATTATTTATTTATTTATTTATTTATTCATTTTTATATGGCATATTTTTCTTTTCCACTTTAGAAAAGGTCCCTTGCTGGAGGAATTCATTATTTTGTCTGAAGGGACTTTTTGAACTAATTTGGTATTCTCTTTGCTGGTGAGGAAGGCAGTAACGTTATTTTATATTTCGGCTTCAACACCTGGCCAGGAGCTCTGACTGTAGATCAATAAACTGCAGTGTCCCCAGCATATGGGTATTTAAGATTCTTGGCTTTTGGTTTGCATTTAGTTGCTCAATACATTGTTTTTCAGAAGCCTACACTTTGGGGGGGAAGGGGAAAGAGTACTGCTGTATTTTTAAATTTTAAACTGTTTATTGTGATACAAATTGCACTTGTAGTGATTTACTTAATGAAACCAGAAGTAACTTGGTTTATATTTACATTACTAGTAAAACTACCAACCATACTAATTGTATTTGCTAAACAAAGGATCTCTGATTGAAATCAGTCCAAAAGGCTTGCCTTGTACCTAAATGAAGAAGAATTGTTTGTTCACCTTTTAAGCAATTATCTGAAAAATGGTTTTGCTTCATTTAACATGGGGAAAGGATTTATGATTTCAACGTGAAGACTGCTTAGAACCACCGTGTTAGAATTATGCATCCAACCTCTTAACACCCCTTGTTATTTAGAAAGCAGGAACTGTGTGTTTATCCTTTTTTAAGTGTTGTGGTTTCTTCAGACGTTGATGGTAAAAGATAAAGTGTGTTTATTTGTGTATGAAAATGATGAGTTGTCATTATATGCTCTGTTCAAAAAAAAGCGCATTAACTAGATTGCAGATTTTTCAGGTTGAATATTTTTAAATGAGTCTGAACTTGATTTTGTTCAGACGCACAGATAGAGACGTTTATACACATCCAGGTTTGAACGCTGCTCCAGGTGTCGTATTTCAATTTCTGCTACTAAAATCAATTTGTGGCTGTCATTCAGATTGCGCGCACTCTGCTGGGGCTTTTCAGCTTCTGTTTTCAAAAATATTTTTAATATTAAGGGTTGTCTTAAAAACCAATTCCTGGGACACGCAAAAGCAAAGAATTGGAATTTAAATGTCTTTTCTCCTGGACATTTCAAAAGTCGTTAAATTGATGAAAAACTATTGTTTTTCCACCATGTCTCTAAATATACTAAATGCGAAAACAAAGGATGAGGAGTTGTGAAATAGGCCGATACGATAACATCTTGGTTTTCCCATTTGGTAAGCACATTTTGAGCTCATAGTTCCAGGCCTTACAGAGTACAAAAAGAAGTATGGTTGACTCTTGAACAACATGGGGATTAGAGGCATGGACCCCTACACAGGCAAAAATCCATATATATATAATTTCTGATTCCCTCAAAACTTAACTAATAGCCTACTGTGGACCAGAATCCTTCCTGGTGACATAAATAGCCGATTAACATATGTTTGGTATGTTATATTCTATATTGTATACGGTATTCTTTTTCTTTTTTTAATTTTTTTTAACGTTTATTTTTGAGACAGAGACAGAACATGAACAGGGGAGGGGCAAAGAGAGAGGGAGACACAGAATCTGAAACTGGCTCCAGGCTCCGAGCTGTCAGCACAGAGCCTGACGTGGGGCTCGAACCCACGGACCGTGAGATCATGACCTGAGCTGAAGTCGGACGCTTAACCGACGGAGCCACCCAGGCGCCCCTGTATATGGTATTCTTGCAATAAAGTAAGCTAGAGAAAAGAAAACATTATGAAAACTGTAAGGACGGGGTGCCTGGGTGTCTCAGGCAGTTAAGCCTCCAACTCTTGATGTCGGCTCAGGTCATGATCTCATGGTTCGTGAGTTCAAGCCCTGCATCGGGCTCTGCACTGACAGCATGGAGCCTGCTTGGGATTCTCTCTCTCCCCCTGCCCCTCCCCTGCTCCTGCTTGCTCTCTTTCTCAGAATAAATACCTTTACAGTGCTGTACCATATTTACTGAAAAAAAAAAAAAAAAAACCTCACATAGAAGTGGACCCCCACAGTTCAAACCCAGGTTGTTCAAAGGTCAACTGTATTAGTCCCTCTCTCAACAGGGAGAGGGTTGAGGAGGGTTGTTGTGTTAGGTGCAAGAAGGTAATGGTGATACACCTTAGACCCAGGCAGTATTATTTAATGTAGACTGTACAAAGTGCAGAGGTAAATACAGGGTGTGAGGGTTTAGCCCGAAAGCTCTCCGAAGGAAATAGGTTTGAGCTTGGTCCTAAAGCAAGGGTGCTGGACGTAACTGATGAAGAGAAAGAGGAGGCAGGACAAGGAACCAGCAGGTTTGGGTCTTGGTGCTTTGTGTCCCTGGTAAGCAACCGGCAGGACAAGGAACCAGCAGGTTTGGGTCTTGGTGCTTTGTGTCCCTGGTAAGCAACCGGCACTTTGTATTCAGGTTGAAACCGCTAAATGACCAAAATTACCTGAGCCCTAGAGAGTGTCATATATTGAAAACTAACTTTATAATTGATCCCAACCATTGAATATGGAAGAGCCAGGGAATTTGCTTTATTAATTTAGACTTCAAAAGCGTTAGGTAGAAGTAATTGGACTTTTTATTTTTTATATTAAAAAAAGTTTTTTTTAACGTTTATTCATTTTTGAGACAGAGAGATAGAACTTGAGTGGGGGAGGAGGAGCAGAGAGAGAGGGAGACACAGAATCCAAAGCAGGGTCCAGGTTCCGAGCTGTCAGCACAGAGCCCGACGTGGGGCTTGAACTCACAGACCACGATTTCATGACCTGAGCTGAAGTCGGACGCTTAAACGACTGAGCCACCCAGGTGCCCTGTCCTTGGACTTTTTGTATTTAATCGCAAGTGGCCTAGCAGAGGCTCTCTGGTGTTTTGCTTCATTTAATGTTGGAAAATGTTTTGTTCTGTTTTTCAGTTCTTCCTTGGAGATTTTTGAGATGCTAGTAAATAATTCATTCTATTTGATATTCTTTTAACAACATTATTGCTTAGAAAAGCTTTGTCAATTAAAAATACCTGGTTGGTCTAGTGTCTGGTGTAAGGATGCCTTGCTTTCTCTCCTTTGGGCCCCTTCCTGAATTCCTTCATTATAGCTTCAGAGTCTCAACAGTTTCTCAGTATATGACATAAGACTGGAATTACAGGGGTGCCTGGGTGGCTCAGTTGGTTTCGGCTCAGGTGGTAATCTCACAGTTCTGTGAGTTCAAGCCCCACATCGGGCTCTGTACTGTCAGCCCTGAACCTGCTAGGGATTCTCTCTCTCTCCTTCTCTCTCTGCCCCTACCTCCTGTGTACCCTCATGCATTCTCTCCCTGCCTGTCTCTCTCTCTCTCTCTCTCTCTCTCAAAAAATGAACTTAGGGGCGCCTGGGTGGTTCAGTCAGTTAAACGTTCAACTCTTGATTTCAGCTCAGGTCATGATCTCACAGTTTGTGAGATCAAGCCTCACATCGGGCTCTGTGCTTACAGAGTGGAACCTGCTTGTAATTCTCTCTCTCGGCTCCTCCCCTGCTCACACACTCTCAACATAAATAAATAATTAAACATTAAAAAAAAAAACTTTAAAAATTTTCAAATACTGAAATTATAGAATATTATAATTGGAAAAGATCTAAGAGGTCAAATGATCTAATTCACCATTCAATATAAGCATTACTCAACATGAGTAATGTTATTGACTTTGTTTCTAAAAGGCTTTTTATAGGCTTTTTTCTCATGGACACCCAGTGTTAATTTATTCGATTGTATTATTACTTAAATGTGTTTAAACATAAATCTAGATGTAAAGTCCTCATGCTTAAGTACTTGCTACAGCCCTAAACCCAAACCAGACCTTCATATTAAATAAACAAATTTACAAAATAAAAAGATTGCAAATGAACTTTAATTTAATGCAACAGATGACATTGTTTTACTGAGATGAAATCACCAGAGTTGAGTTTAACCATAAAAAGACATAGCGTCTTACCTGGTTCTGTATTTAATATGATCTTGTATTTTGATTTCAGTAATATCAATGCAGAAAGTGGCCATTCTCAGAAGCATAATACATAAAGCATTATCAAAAAGTGTTGAGTTTTTGATTGTTGAGGATAATCACATGTTCTGCCATCCAGCAATCCTCAAATGCTTATTCAGTGATGGATTTCTCTTTTTTTTAAGCTTATTTATTTATTTTGAGAGAGAGAGAGAGAGAGAGAGAGAGAGAGAGTGTGTGTGTGTGTGTGTGTGTGTGTACGCAGGAGGGGCAGAGAGAGGGCGGGGGAGAGAGAATCCCAACCTGGCTAGGCACCATGAGCCCGGAGCCCGCCGGGGGGGCTCGAACCCACGAACCATGAGATCATGACCTGAGCCAAAATCAAGAGTTGGTTGTTTACCGGACTGAACCACCCAGGCGTCCCAGTGAGGGATCATTTGATGACACTGTGAGGCTGTCTTGTCCACAGCATTCATCCATCCGTTTATTCAACAAATACTCAGAGATCGTGTGTGCCAGAAACTTGTGCTAGCGCTGAGGATGCAGTGATGAACAAAAGCAGACACAGCCTTGAGGGGGAGACAGGTGCTACTCAGATAATCATGCAGATGGAGGACTACAGCTGTGACAGATGCCCTGAGAGACAGGTGCATGGTCCCAGGAGAGCCTAAGTTAGGGAGGAGAGGAAAAGCTCCCGAGGGAGATGCCTACCCTGGGCTCTAGGTAGGAGTAAACCAGAGAGAGAAAGGAGAAAAGCTTTCCAGGTGAGGGGGCTGCTGTGCAGGGTGTGGGGAGGGGGGGGGGGTTGGCCCCCTCAAGGAACTGAAAAAGGCCCCGGCTTGGATGAGTCTCCGGGATGTTGGTGAAGGGTTGTAAGCAGGCTGGGACGATATATATGATCAGATTCCTACTTTGAAAAAGTGACTGGGGGCGCCTGGGTGTCTCAGCATCCGACTCTTGATTTTGGCTCAGGTCACTAGCTTCACGGGTTTGGGCCCCACGTGGGGGGCC